GTCCAGGCCAGGTCTTCCTGCACACACCTGTGAAGTTCACTTTCCCATACAAGTCCTGGATCGGAGGAGCCAGCCCCAGCTTGAAGAGGTAGAAGCTGAAATACAAACCCACACGGTGACATCACCTGCTTCTCCCTCCTGATGCTTCCGTGTCACCCGAGGCTGATGGGTGACACCACCAAAGGGCTCACGAGCATGAACACATTCCATGAGAGCCAGGCCAGGGCACCCACCTGAGTGCATGGATGCAGTAGACCACCCGAGGCATGTTCTTCTTGTCATAGATGTCCGTGGTCTCTGGGTGGAAGATCTGCCACCAAGACAGAGACATGTCAGGGGGCAGTGGCATCGAGGCAGTCCCCAGGGTCACTGGTGTCAAAGAGTGGGGGGCAAAGACAAAGCCCCCCTGCCATACCAGCACCCCAGTACTGGCACAAGGCAAGGGCCAGTGTGTCCCTTGGCTGGGGAGAGCAGAGGGGAGGTGTTACCGAGGGAAGCCCCACATGGCTCATGGCATCACGCCAGTAGTTGATGTTATCCGTGTGCCGAAAGTGAAGCCCAGCTGTCTGGAAGAGAGGAGCTGAGGTCAGGCTGAACCCCACTTTCTCCCACCCCTGGGGTCCCCCTTGCCCCCAGAGCAACCCAGCCGAGGCAGGAGGTCAAAGACAGAGGCAATGCCTGTGATCCCCAGCTCAGGGACCCCACTGCAGCCACCTGCTAGAGAACAGTCCCTCAGTGACTGCTGTCACCAAGTCCCTCCTCACTCTGCACTCACCAGCAAGGGAAAGCTTTGGGGCTACACCCTAAGGGGTACTACACCTTCCCTCTGGTGCCACAGCCTTACCTTGTACCGTGTCTGTTCAGGGTCGTAGATCTTCTTCAGGGGGACAATGGCAGGGGCAAAGCAGTGGCCCAGCTTGGCCAGGAGGACCCCGTTGCGCAGGGTCTCCTCCAGCTCCGTGGGTGGGGGCAGCCCCTCACCCAGACAAGCCTCCATCCACCTGGCAGGGCAGGGACAGGGCACGTCACAGACCCCCAGAGAAAAGCACCCAAAGGACATTTCCCCCCCACCAGCTCCATTCCAATAAATCCTCCCTAGCAGGGGAGCTCAGCCCTCAGGCATTGCTGCTGGGTGGTTTTTAGTTTGGGTGTAGGGCTGAGCGTCCCCCCACAAAAAAACACAACCCCCCAGAAAGCCACAGCAGCATTCTGCAGTGCTATAGCCACCCCCCACCCACTCTCCCCCTGTCCCTCCCCTTAACACGCCTTCTCCCCCCAAATCTGAGCTCGAGGATCTCCCCAAGTGCAGCCCCACCGCTTGGCTTCCTCCAGGTGACACAGGTACTGGTAGGCAACGTTCTGCCTCCTCTGTTCGTCCATCTCATCGGCAGTCGGGCGCTCACCTGGGCAGAAAGGGCCCCCCCATCAGAGCCCCCTGCTCAAAGAGGCTTTTTGAAGCCCCCCATAGCCACTGAAACTAAGATTTGGGAAAGGGAGCCAGGCTTTGGGTGCAGCAGCCTCCCACAGCCCTCGTGGGAGTGGCATCAACGTCACAGTTCATGGTGGGAGGAAAGTTTCCAATTTCCTTTTTTTCCAAGTAACGGCCATCGGGGCTGGCACTGGAGTGGGAAGGGCACAGAACAAGCATCCGGGGAGGAGGTGGGGAACACAGGTTTGGGGTCCTTTTACACTGCTGCTCATGCTGGAGGCACCCACGACTTCTGGGGGGCACCCAGCTGCCTCCCAACAAACCATTCCCCAAAATATGTCCCCCCCAGTTTGTCCCCATGGGCCTGGCACCTTGCCACCGCCGTCCCTCTACCCACGTGCAGACTGCCTGTTCCCCCTCCACCCCTAAATCCGACCGCTCCCCCATCCCTCTGCACGCCCAGAGTCCCTGTCCCCCCTACACTTGTCCCCTCACATTCCCCTGACCCCCAGCCTCACCTGTCCCCTCACTTCCCCCTGTCCCCCAGCCTCACCTGTCCCCTCACATTCCCCTGTCCCCCCATATCCCCCTGTCCCCCCAGCCTCCCCTCCCCCCTCCCTTCCCCCTGTCCCCCCAGCCTTACCTGTCCCCTCACATCCCCTGTCCCCTCACATTCCCCTGTCCCCCCATATCCCCCTGTCCCCCCAGCCTCCCCTCCCCCCTCCCTTCCCCCTGTCCCCCCAGCCTTACCTGTCCCCTCACATCCCCTGTCCCCCCCAGCCTTTCCTGTCCCCCCACATTCCCCTGTCCCCCCCCAGCTCGCTGCACCCCAGACTTGTCCCCCTCCCGTCCCGCTGCACCCCGGACATTCCCGCTCCCCTCCCCTCATCCTCTGCCCCCCGCCGTGCCCGCAGCCCCCGGTGCCGGTGCCGGTGCCGGTGCCGGTGCCGGTGCCGGTCACTCACAGCGCCCCGGGCCCGCTCCCTCCATGGCCGCGGCGGCTCCGGTGGCTCCGCCCGCGGTTTGAATCTCCCGCCGCACACGTGGCTGCGCGCGGGGGCTGCCGGGCGGGACAGAGGGACAGGGGGACAGCAGGACAGCGGGACACGGGGATCCAGAGACAGCGGGACCCCGGGACACAGGGACAGCGGGACACAGGGACCCCGGGACAGCGGCACCCCGGGACAGCGGGACCCAGGGACACGGGGATCCAGGGACAGCGGGACAAGGGGACACAGGGACAGCGGGACACAGGGACCCCAGGGCACCGGGGAGCAGCGGCACTGGGACTGCGGGACACCGGGACAGCGCGACAGCAGGGGACGGCGGCACTGGGACCGCTGGACCCTGGGAAAGTGGGGCACCGGGACAGCGGGACACCGGGAAAGCGGGGCAACGGGACACCAGGACCCTGGGACAGCGGGACACCGGGGGCGGGAGAGCATGGGACACACACTGGGGAGCTCAGGGGGCACCGGGACCCCGAGACACTGGGACACCGGGGAGCAGCGGCACCGGGACACCGCGGGGGAAACCGAGGGACACACACTGGGGAGCTCAGGGAGCACCGGGACCCCGAGACACTGGGACACCGGGGAGCAGCGGCACCGGGACACCGCGGGGGAAACCGAGGGACACACACTGGGGAGCTCAGCGAGCACCGGCGGTGCGGCAGGTGACACACACCGAGAGAGAGAGGGGAGCCTCAGGTTGCAGGGGGAGCCTTGGGGTGCAGGGGGAACTCGTGGGTGCAGGGCTAAGCGAGGACTGGAGAACTCCACCGGCTGTGTCAGTGCTGTGCCAGACTAAGGACGTGCCACCCGGCCCCGCGGTGCCCTGTACCCTCGCTGCTCTGAGCCTGCTCCAAAGCATGAACCTGCCCCCTGTGGAACAAGCCCCCAGCACCTGCCACGAGCTGTTGAGGCAGGTGTGCCATCCATTACATGGCTGTCCTGTCCAGCACACAGTTTTCCCGTCCCTCCATCGCTCTCAGGGCTCACGCTGGCACTGCTGCAGGGAGTTGCCATGGCACTGCACACCCCCCTGGTGACAGGGATGAAACTGGAGCCAGCGGGGCCATTGTGGGATGTGCTTTCCCAGGAACGGGCCTGGCTTTGTCCCAGCCTGTGCCACCGCCTGCCACGCTCCTGTCTCTCAGCACCCGGCCGTCCATCACCAGGGGCTGTGACCTGCTCCAGGCACCTTTCCAGGCAGCCCAAGCTCGGCAGCACCTCAGAAATTCTCCATCCCTGCAGCAGAGAGCCGTGGCTGCAGCGGCGGGGATGCCTTGTCTCCCTGCTCCCTGCTCTCAGCACTCTTTGCACCTGAAGAGCAAACAGTAAGTGTGTGCAACTCCTTATTCTGCCTCCCAAAAACGCACCCCAGCAACATCCCACTCCATGCTGTGGTGTCCCTCCTCCTTCCCCAGTGACCTCTTTCCTCTCTCGTGGCCACCAAGGCTTGTGGGGTCCTCCATGGAAAGGCCTTTTTCCTTCCTGAAACTTAATAGCAAGCAGGCTACAAGACATCCCTAATTTTTCATAAATGATATAAAATAATGCTGCTCGTTTGAAGTGTTCGCTGGCTGGACCACGCTGGCTTGGCTGGCTAAGCACCTCTGTCTCTTGCAGGCAGGCTGCTGCCCCTGCCCATGGATTCGGAAGAGGCTGCTGACCTGGGAGTGCAGCCCACTGCGCCCTGTGCCCCCATACACCCCACTGCCTCCTCTGCCCCCACTGTCCCCACAGCCCCTTCTGCCCCTACACACCTCACTGCCCCCTGTGCCCCCTCTGCCCCCACACACCCCACTGACCCCTCTGCCCCTACATCCCCCACTGACCCCTCTGCCCCCACACACCCCCCTGACCCC